AACAATATAATCTCAGTGCTTGCTAAACAGGTCTGAGATAATATAAGGAGCTTTGGGTTAAGTTCTCGGAACGGGTGCAGCAGTGAAGTTGGACTATATGTAGGAAGTATGTTCGTGCCATTAGAAAACGAGGTGGCTGCCCCGAGTCATGTTGAGTCAGGAGTAATCCTGACAAATGACACATGTACCTCGCCATTCCTAGCCATGTTAGATTGAAGGGTATGTTAAATTTTACAGTCCCACAATGACTTGAAATATTAAGTGGGAGCTTGAAATATACCTGTTGAACATTTATCCCTTTTTGTAAATCACAATAGCAGTGTATGACCAATTTGATAGTAGCTCTGGGAGGACCCAAATTTACTGTACTACAATATGCCTAGTCCCCTCCTCCCAGTCCAGACACACCTCCCCTTCTCTTTCTTTCACTTCATTCCCATTTCCAATCTATTCATTAATGTAATATCGGTAAACATTAAATCCAGTTCATTTCTGTTGTCAGCTTATTTTCTTTATCAGTCACTCTTTGAAATTGTTGCTTCAGGCTGTGTAACCAGCTGGTAAATCCACATTCTGTTTTGTTTCAGCCAATGGCCAAGCAGCAGGCCAGGTTGTTCTGTTTGGAGGGGTAAGTCTGTAGTTAAAATTTTATGGAAAGGGAAATATTTATCTGTAGATGCCTGGGTAAGTTAAACTGTTTCTTTGTAATTCTGCAACAATGTCGTAGGACTTATTTTCACACCTTTCTTCCCCTGTGAGTGCCGGATACAGGTGCACTGACTGTATCAACTTCTTCAATTATATCCACACGCAAGTCACCAGCCAACACAACAGTAAGTCTTTCAGTAGGGAGCTCAATACTTTTCAAGTTCAATGACTTGTGTTTTGTTGCTTACTGCGAATAAAGGTTTTGTGAAATAATTTGTTATATTTTGTATGCTCGCAGGGTGGAATTTTATTAATTTTAGGGAACATGTACTTTCTACTTAGAAATATTGTCATAACTAGTATATTGTCCCTACTGCATTAATTCAAATGTCTCTCAAGAACTGCTGACTAGATTCTTTTCACATTGGGAATCTAGGTTCAACGCTACAGTATAAGAAAGGTCCCAGTCACAGAGCTACAAAATAACTTTTGGTCATTGAGTTACCGTACCTCGCCAGGTTCATCTCAATTGGGTATTCCAACCTCTTCTTGGAGTAACCAACAGCCTTGTAATTCTCACTCAAACTCATCAGTATTTGCCTTTCCATTTAAATTTTAAAATATAAATAAAGTTTAAATGTTAGTGTTTGCTATTTTCATATTTAACGGTAATATGAGAAACTAAGCAAGAAAGACGGCCATGGATATCTCTTGTAGATTCTCAGCATATTAACCTGCATACAATAATATGTTATGCTTGTCAGCTTAGATAATCAAGAACCATTCACTGGACCTCTTCATATTTGATACCAAGCTTTATCTAGGGAAATTTGATTTGGTGACCTTCTTAATTTAATTTTCAAAAGCCTACAATGACACCTGCGAAGATTCTCAGCATGTTAAATTGCATGTTAAGATAGTCAGCAAGATATTCTGAAATAAACAAGCCTCACTGATTTTTCTATATTTTGACACCAAGCTTCATCTATCGAAGGTGTAGGGCGTAGTTTACCTTTGGCATCTCATGTCCGCGTCACTGTGATATTTTGAAGATTTCAGCATGTTAACCTTGAATTCACTTGGATTTTCTTTCATAGACTTCAAGACTTCCTTTGAATGATTTCTTCTAATAAGCAATTTATTTAGTACCACTTTTGCATATTTCATATATCCATGATAGATCAGCGTCAGCAATAAAGTCAGTCTTGAAAAATATTTGTGTGTTTCAACAACTAAAGAGCAGCATAGGTCAAGAGAGGCTTGACTGGGTCATGCTTTTGTTTAATATTTAACTCATCTTAAACTTTCATTACTTTTAAGTTCATCATACCATAATGGGATTATGTTCTTAGTGACAATGCTTCGTTTCTTTACAAATGATATTTACTGTCTGCATGAAATGGTCTGTAGAGCAGTATTTTGTATGTTATTGGTCCTTTCAAACTCAACGTTTCTGGACTTAACTTCGAGCCACTTTTAGGTTAGGGACAGAGAGGATGAAATAAATTCATGATAATATTCTATGTTTGTTTCAGCATGAGGTGATACTTATGATTCCTTGCACCGCCGTCAAGCAGGAATGGCAACGTAATAATGGTCTGTTTCGAAACATTGCACTCAGCCGCATTAAAAGAAGCTGTTATTTATAAAGTTTTGTTCAATATTCTTGAATGTAAATTGTAATTCACTCTAACTTTTAGTTTTGAAAGTAGAGCCATCTTGGCACCTCAGAGTCATTTCAAACATTTCATTAGAATAATAGTGATACTTTCAGCAGCAAAAATTTGAATTAATTGAGTAATTGGCTAATTGATTTATCTACCAGGGCTAGATCGAATAACTCCTTGGACCAGATCGTTTTGTTTCAAGTTTGGTGGTCTGAAGAAATGGTGAGTGTTACCTGATCAACAAAACTTAATCAGTGTTAGCCCCATGGAAGGCATGTGGGTCTGGGGAACTGTTAAAATGTGAGTAGTATTCTTACCCTTTCAACACCGTTGGTACACCAGCCATTAATGTCATGAGTAACTTGGCACAACAGGCTGGAGCAGCGCCACGCTTTGCCCATGGAACATACTGCAGTGTAATATTTTAGCGGCAATATTACACTAGTGTAATACCGCCAGATGCGCGGCATCATAGTGGTTAAGAGTTATGACGCCACAACGCAAATACATGTACTCTGTGGCCGCAAATGGTATTAGACCTTAGTTTCTGACTCTATGAAAATTTGATATGAGGAGTCAATACACTGTGGTGGCAGTTTCTATCAATTTATGTTGAGAGTAATAAACAGAATACTAAACTCGGGCCTGCGGAAATACCATTTTAAGCCAAACCTAAGGAAAGATTGTACCAAATTCAATTTTCACTTGTTTGGAGAAGCGTAGCCTAATGGTTAGCTGCTAATTGCCATGCCGGGTTATCTGGTTTGAATCCCCACATTGGCAGCAAAATGTGTGAAGCCTATTTCTGGTGTCCCCGCATGTTGTTTGAATATTATGCGCGAAACCAAACCACAGTCAGTCAGTTCACTTGTTTTATACTAAATCATTAAATCAATTTTAATAAATTGGTATTTACACGGAAGGTCTTTAGTATCCTCTGTGTCTATGACTAAGTCATTGTCTGGAAGATAAGGAATTTACGCAATATATTTGTTGTGGATCAATATTAAATCATCTACTACTTCCCAAAATAAAGTGGAAATTCCGTAATTTCTAATAGAGGCTTACGTTGTTGGTTATTTTGCGTCAGCCAAGTTGTCTAGGAGTTGGTATACAACATTTTGTATAGGTATACACCATCGCATCATGTATGCCCTTCTTTGAGGATGCATGGTTAGAAAATACTTTCTCATCCGTGTATTAAAGTGAGTCTTGGATGAGGGGATGACTGGTTGCTCCTCACATTCCTCTCCCAAACCCCACCACCACCCCACCACTGTATAAAATGGCAGCACATAATGCAAACTAATCGTCTGGTCTTTGTTCCGTAGCGTTGGAAACTGAACAAAGCACCATGACATAATGGTATTGCGTTCCTTTTAAGCAATTAAATATACTGTAGTTTGATCCAAAATTGTGTACAGAGAAAGATTGTAAAACAAATTAAAGCTAGATTTCAACAAGGTTCCCTTTAGTGTAGGAATGTTTCATTTCTATTTTATTTTTCAGTGCAAACACCTATGAAGAACTAGCGTTCCTCAAATGCCAAAGTTTTTTATCTGCCCAGGAAGATAAAAGTACATTTCATGTCAGTCTTTATCAGTACAATTGCAGGCTCATGGAAATGAAATAAAGTGAACACACGTAAAAGTAAGTGGTCCGGCCACCTTCCAGTTTTCACGTTTTATACAAACGTAATGTGCCTCATATCCCCATTTGTTTCCCATGAGTATAAGAACAAGAGGTAGAACATAATATAATAACTGCTCTCTCAGCTACGAGCTGGATAGGTTTTGGAGATGACAAGACTTATAAGTAATGAAACCCAGTGCCAAACAGAGTAAATAAGTATGTTTTCAAGTCTTGTGGTAAAGTGTTTGTGGATTGTGTTATGTGTGGTTAAAGTAATGTTGAAACATCACTCTATGGCAAAAAGCCGCTCAGCCTTTACCTTTAGTATCTACCTAATCACCGCGTAATCGCCCGGTGTATGGTTAGAGCCACCGCCTCCTGGTGCGGGTCGGTTCACCATCTGCGGTGTACTGATGTCACCGCCCGCGGGTGTAGTGGTTAGAGCTGACCGTTGGTGTAGTGGCGGTATTTCACTGCAGTGCGGTTGTTTCAACGCCCGGTGGTAGTGGTTAGATGGTCATGGGTGGTAGTGCGTTGTTTTACCCGGTAGTGGTTCGCATCCCCAACGTACCAAAAGACGTTAATATGGGTAATTGTTGTTCCCCTGCCTGGTGCTGCATTAAATAAAGCGAAGCGACTTCTGTCGCCTGGAGCCGCAAGGTCGTGTCTATAGTGTTCGCGTTTCACGCGCTGCGGGCTTCAGTGCTAGCACTATAAAACCAGGTTCAGTTCAAATAGTAATAAGCAGCCATACAATATTGCTACGCGCATACCGTTATGACAAATATTCTCGCGGTCGTACTTTTTAAACCACCACCTACAATTCTCTACCTAATTGTCTCTGGAATACCAGCCGCGATAAGAGGACATATTTCGTTCGGCATTGTGTCAGCGTATGGTAAAGAGCTCAGTCCTGTTTAAAACATTCACTTGTGGTAAAAGGATTAGCTAAAGTCGTACAAAGTTTTCACGCAAAAGTATTCATTGTCGCTATTGAGTAATGTGGAAAAAAGGATGCTCTTATTTCTGAAACACCTTCGGCGATCATTATCTTCCCACAGAGGTTACTTGTCATATCTTTAGTTCGAACTCTGTTCTAATATCGCCAGTTTCCCGCAGTAGTAATTTAAAATCCCCTAGTGGCAAAATCGGGGTCATTACCATCTCCCTTCATCCTGTTCCAATCAGAACACGCGGTTACTTCAAACTTAGATCCAACTTCTGGACTAACAAAATTAAATAAAATACAAATATCCCTCCCTCTGTCGGGACTTAAAGTTGATGTGACACAAGACATTTAATGGCTAGCTTGTCCGCTATTTAGGGCTGATGGAGACACTATTGATCAGCCAACGACTGGTTCTGTCTAGAAGAAACGTTTTGGGCGAAAGAGTTTTATATTTTTCCCCGGCGACACGGAAATACCAGGCCTTGCGACGATCACCCTTGAAACACCGCCGCTGATAGCACAACCAAATCTGATTAAAACTCAATCACGGTCCTAACACGCACAGTAATGGATTGTGTTCCAGAGGTTCTGAGAAAGAGGGCATGCGTAACCTCTGTGGGTTACTCATGCTTGTTGATTAACCAAGGTAATAATTTTCGCTTGCGATATATTTATTCTGGATCGCTATATTTCCGGTAGGAAATGTTGATGTTAAATGTTCCTTTTATAATTTTAGTCTTGTGCCGGGGTTAATTGTTACTAGACTTTCCATCAACAATGATGCGTACAATATGTTTCGTTGGCTGTTGGCAGAACCCCAAACGCAGATCTGTGGACTCCTCGCATGTGTACTCAAGAGACCAGCCGCTCTAAAGAACTCGCCCAAATCAATCATGAGCCCCAGGCTTTCTATCATCAATCCTTAGTCTGAAACCATCAACATCTGAAAACGAAAGCAAATGAAAATTCAGGAATGTCTAATAGATTGGTTGGACATTTGATAGCAACCTTAATGAAGCGCGGAAAGTTCCTTCTATTTCAAATGTATATTGACGCAGGAATTTTCAGGTCCTGTAAATGCCTCGCGGCACCTAAAATGAATATTTGGCCGGTGAATATGGATTCACAGTTTATTTCCTTCTGTCTGACTTTCCCACAGGTTTTAACAGATTTGAAATTACCTCGTACCACGTGGAACTAACTAAAACCTAATTCCTAACCACAGGCAGATCTGTTTCCAGTTTCCTAAACAATTCCAGCCGTAATAATTTGCAGTATTGTTCTGTATATGGCATGGATCTCGCCTATTCACTCCAGTTCAAACTTTCTAACTCAATCTTGTCTTCTATTCCTGCCAGCTTCCTGTAGCAAAGAAGGTCGTTCGATGTGCGGAACGTGACTCAGTAAAGGAGGTGTCACCGGCTGAGAGCCTTGGACAGAGACCAGGTACAACACAGGTGAGTCACTTATCTTTGTTAAGTTTGAGATGTTGCTGTATCATAAAATAGGTCCCACATGTCTCACGCGTAATGGCCATGCTCGGTGACTTCATGGATGGACGGATGATCAGTCAGTCATCGGTGAGATTGCTCTAGTTTCATTGATGTATTATGACAAGTGCGATATTATTTGATGATGATGTATTGTTTCAGACTTGAGCTGTTTCAGTTTGTCGAAAAAATAATAGGCCCGTTCCCCACTTGGCAGTGCAATAAAAACAGGTATGTAATGTTTGACTTGAAAGCCAGTAATTGATTAGACACACCAATGCTGCGCCCTTGTTCCAGTTTCGGGAAAGTCATTTGTTCGAGAAACATCCTCAGCGCACGCGCAATTCCAAGCCATCACTAGGAAATACCAGATAATAGTCATCCAAACGCAAAAATGTCTTCCTATAATCTTATGACTCAGGAAACACGCTTCAAAGTCAGGTAAGGATGATTTATGACAGCCATTTGAAATGATTAACTGTATCAGGATTGTTTCAAGGAAACATGTCAAGCTTGATGAAGTTAGTCAGCCATGCTGGCCATCATCATAACACCCTTGATCATCATGTCTGATGATTTCACCACCCTGTAATAATAGTCGCCGCCACAGGTGGTCAGAAAACCTGCAATTCCGACAATTAACCTTCTGATGTCTGGAAGTCTTCACCCAGAACTGGGGAAATATCTTCGCGAAGGTGCGCCGGCTGGTATGTATTGATTTAAAATGTATGTTTGTCATTGAAGCAACCAGTAAAGCATGTGCGTGTTAGCAATGTGGTCCACCGGTATGCACCGCGAAAGGGCCGTTGTAACAAATCCACATGGTTCTTCCGTGCATGCATATACCGCCTTTTGGCAATACGTATCTGTCATAAAGAAATTACCGTTTCCACATTATGGAAGCCGGGTGTGGTTGAGCTGGTTAGGCAGCTGACTTTGTGTGGTGGCTATTGGTACTGACTTTAGAGTGGTTAAATCCTGGAGGGACTCAACCCAACAAAGAATCAAATTTACTACAAGGAAGTGTAATCCCAGCCATAACATGTTGCATTTGACCTCATCTAAATGTCATTGTGTAATCATAGACATAGAAATGATGCCTTTTAACATGTGCTTGAGTGGGGTGTATTACCTGGTCGCAGTGACACTAGATGATCGTGTGCTATCCTCCCATTCCCAGCTGTGGATAGAGCTTCTTTTAACATTGAATCAGTCCACCTTATTTCCAGCACAGTTGCAGCCGACTTCGCTCTGGTTTGCAGTGTGTACAGGGAGGTGGAGACATATGCTGCTGCCATCTTGTTCCAGCTGCTGGCCAATGAGCTGGTAAGAATGTCACCCCTGTGTATGCCATTTAGGTAGGACTGTTTTACTCTTCATTTACTGATTTGTTTCGAAGGTGGGGTGGTTAAAAAATTGACAACAGAAACATCTCCAGATTGTTTTGACCTTCGAGCGGGTACGTCCGCTTGGTTAACCGAGAGTTCTAGTTTTGTATCCATATAAATGAGTGCTTGCATACACCATTTACGCTATCGTGCAGTAATCGAAAGCACACCCTTAACATTCAAACTGGGGATTCTCAGCCGTTGGACACGCCTCTGTAAAACCTGAAATTCACTTGGCAGTCAAAAGAGTGGGTTTCGTTGAGTGATTTATGCTACAAAGCGAACACCTCCCCTTTGGTAGTCTTGCTCTTTGTGTCAGGGAATTTCCGAAATAATCAGTTTGAAGATGTATACCTAGAATAAAGCGATTCTTTATTGCGTATGCATGGAAGGCGAATACAAGCATAATATTCTGTTCTGCAGAACCCCACTGTAGTGTGTATATCTTGAAGCTGTGTACTAATAAGCCAAAACTGTGCCGCTGACCTCCATTGGAATTACCTCACCAAACAAAGGTCAAGGTCAAGGGTGTCTTAAAAAGTCATGTCGCGAATGTACACTCTGTGAATTTTGTTGACTGAAGCGGATCAAATCTGGGAACAACAGAGCTTCAGCAGATTTATTTCCCAATTTTGCTTGTTCCTAACCACGCACTCATGCATGACTTCAATTCGTAGTGATCGTGGGTACAAAAAGTTTCTTATGCATTTCAACTTGATGCATAGCACTGTTGTTAGCAGGTTGTGAAAATGAATGCATGACTCATTTGATTTGAGATGCATGGCGAGTAAACGAAGTCACTTCAGTTGTCCACATGCACAAATCTTTACAAATTTCGTGATGTTAAGTCCATTTTGAAAAAGATGTTTGTAACAAATTCTAATGCATCGCTTTGAAAGTGCGTGAATATCGCTGAATCAAACCAGCGGTGGTATTGTTTCATTCGGGCGGTAGCCTAGTGGTTGAGTACTGCTCGCCACGCGAAGACCCGGTTCCAATCCCCATATAAGGGCCAATGAGAGAAGCCTACTTGGTGTCCCCGCCGCGGATATTATTGTTTCTGAATATTGCTAAAGCGGCGAAAACCAAACGCCTGGCATGCGCATGCGGTATGTATCAAAAGGCTGCTTGTGCCCAGCCCAGACTTTGGCTGGCTGAAGTGTTATCCCAACCTGCCGTCATGCCGCAGTGAAGCATGAATATCCCACGGTAATGCCGCCGGTACTTAATTCTAGAAATTTACCGTAGTCCCTTTTGTTAAAATTTAATACGGAAGCGGCAGGTGTTCAACAAGTACCATATTTTAACGCTCTTTTGGTATGTCATGTCGGGATCAACCCCGCCAATCTCCGCCTCCGGCGGACGCTTCAACTTCACTCGCCACCACGGAGGCGGTTCCAAAACATTGTAGAAGTCGGTATATACCGGCTTCTGCATGAAATGTATTGTTTTGTTTTGATTCTATTGTTTACATTTACACTTTTACGTGATGATGAATTTCTATTCATAGAGGGAACGGTACAAAACGGTTGTCGGGCATTAAAACAAAATATCAATAATGGAAGTGAAGTGTGTGAAGGAAGTCCCCGTTAAAACTTCGATATTTCAACATCCCTTCTGTGGTGCGCCGCAGCCAGATTAAAATTCAGCAGCGTTTGTTAAAAATGTCAACTTCAGGATTCCGAAAACCTAAATAAAATGTTCGAAATCTATGAGGAACGCAAAGTGGTATCGACGAATGAAACCATACTAGCCCTGTTCTGGAATCGATTATTGCACATTGGTTACCTTTAGGGCTGCAGTGAAGCGCGCCGGACAAGATTTCGTAATTCCGGTGCCGCCATCCAGTGTCCGCGATGAATGTCAACCTCGGTTTCAGTTTATGTAGAATAATAAACCGTGTTCGCCCAGGAACCCAGCCGGATGTAGAAATCTGCAAAGAAATTGGCTTCAGCGCACAGGGTGGTAAAACATCACATTCATTAGACAAAGTCAGATTTAAATTAATTAAATGGCTTTGGTTTCCTCGCGAAGCGAGGTGTGAAATGGATTGTACGAAAGCGCGTTCCGCTAACACACGCTCAAACACGATTATGAAGCACTTTCCTACCTATTGATTCTTTGACAAAAATCCGTTACGCGGTGTGGATTTCGCCAGATTCAAAGCGCAACATTAATTCAATTTTACATCGCAGAAAGTAGTTTTAGGGATGCTCTTATCTTCACCATACTCCACAGGGTACCTGAACTTTGATAATTTAGTTTCCAATGGAAATGGGTTTTATAATCAGTTTATAAAACTTGACTGAAATCTCACCAATACCATTCCACATCTATCTCTTCATGCATAGGACCTGCAAGTCAGCTTGGAATATTGCTAAGCAGCGAAACCAGGGAGACTCTATATGTGAGCGTCACCCCGGAAAGCCCTAAGCGCGCCTCGCTCGCCACGCGGGATCAGCAGTCAATGGCGCGCAGCTTTAGTTTCTTTACATCGGTTCGCAGTTTACGACGGCTAATGCTTGAGTGTTGTGGACAACTGAAACCCAGCTCTTCGGTAAAAGTGCCTCGCGTGGGTATGTTGTAGCTCATCATTTCCAATTTCGCCAGTACAGCTTAAGAAAAGATTCAACTTATATCGCTAAAACTCTTCGCCGTCATCTCCGCTTAATTTTAGCGAAATATACCTTGGTTTGAAAGGTTTTGCAAGCAATAGTGATATTTTATAACTAAAAAAAATTGTTAGGCAAAATTTTGAGGTGTGGCAGTGTTACATATCACTTTATCTGCCATTGAAATACTACAGGCGTTGTTTAGCAGCCTCAGCGAAACAAAGTCATCTCGCGTTACAAACCGGCCTTAAGAGGGAAATGGCACGGTTCGCAAAGCCCAAAAGTACAGCATAGCCTTTATGTAATTTTAAAAAATTGTTATGGGTATTTGAGTGAAGAAAATGGCGATTATGCCCACTTCATTCGCCAGCCGAAATGCCATTAAGGGCATTGTTTATGTTTCTAGTTAGTGTTCAAAAACATCTTCACATAAGCAAATCTCTCACCTTTTATGAGGGGAATATGTACCATCAGGTGAAAGGTGTTTGGTAAGTAATAGTGATAGTTTTATAATTTTAAAAAAATTGTTAGTGTATTTGAGGTGGTAAAGAAATATACAGCACATCTGCCATTGAAATACTACAGGGCATTGCTATGTTTCTAGTTGGTGTTCAAAAACATCTCTGCCATACACCTTCAATTTTATAGCAGGGGAAATATAAATTCATCAGGTGAAAGTTTTGCAAGTAATAGTGATAGTTTTTGTTTTTCGTTAGCGACGAGGCAGTGCTACATATATCACGATCTGTTCCGATACCATTGTTTGTGGGATGCCGAGTGTTATGTTCTAAAACTTCTTTCTTTCTGCTTGATCTTAGTATTTGACAAAACTGGAAAGGTGTTTTAAGCAACGCTTTCAGGATAGTTCTAAACTTTCTCTCTGCCTTTTGAGAGGTCTGTGACAGTGTCAGTTAATGTTCTGCCTAATGCCCATGTCATTCCAATACATGTACGGAGTCCCAGTCCTGAAGCCACGCAAAACGTCCCCTGCCGATTTTTAAGTAAAAGGACAGCTGATGTTGTAACATGTGTTCTAATCGATAGTTTTGGCGCTCTTTTAACATGTTTGTAGGGATGGTCGCGGCGTATCATTTTATTCTTTCATTCATTCATATGTTCTTTTTTCTTTTTGCCTTTTCTCTTAATTTCTTCACTCATTCACATGTAAATTTGCCTAATCCATTCATTCATTGTAAAAATCTCAATCTGGCGCTACAATACGCACTGGCTGGCGCCTGCTAAAATGCAGCCTGAAGTTGGCGCTTTGGGACTGAAACTGCTCACTGCGGTGCTGGAGCGTTAATGAGGCGCCTGGAATAGCCAAAATGGTAAAGAAGAAAGCCGAAAGTGACTCATCCCGTTGTAGAATTATCCTGGTAAAACTAAACTCACTCTGTATGGGGATCTGAGAGAGAGAAGCGAGAGGTGGGCTGCCATATTTATATACATTAAATCTGTGCATATTGGAAAATGTTTGATGGAAATTAATCTACACATTAGATATATTTCGACATAATGTGTGAGCCATGAACATGTGTGATTCGTCTTTGAGCGTAAGAGCCGCCAAGCCCAAAGTCAGTGCTGATATTGTATCAAGCCTGTGAGTTTATCATGACCACAGCGACTTCATCTCAAACAGTTCTGGCAGGTATATTTGTAGTCCTATTAAGATCAAGGTGCATTGTTTATACGGTGCTGCAATACCTGTTCTGAGGAGAGATCAGATCAGGTGAACTTTCAAATCTGAGTCTGTGCTAAAGAGACAAGTGGCAGGCGATGGGGCACGGAACCTGGCGACAATATAAGCCTATCAGTACCAGGTGAGAAATTGGGTTTAACATCTGTTTGAGAATATTTCATCCCTATGACGCACGCCGCTATGTGTATGTATGTAAAAGCCGCTTGTACCAGCCCAGACTTAGGCTTCTGTGTTATGGCGCGTTGCAGCCCACTGAGTCAATTACATGTCGTGAAAGTGGAAGCGCCGAATACCCCAGACACATTATACTGATTCGAAGCCGACTCCAGTCCCGAAAGCCAGCCCATTAATGCTTGGTGCGCCAGGGTTGACCAACGGCACCAGTGCATGGACGCTTCTAACCATTACACCAATGGAGGCCGATTAGCCGAACTTCATATTTAATATAATATGATTGGGCATTAAACCCATAGACAAATATGGTACGATTGGGCATGAATCTCACAGACAGGCTATAGCCCGATTAAAGGTAATTACAAAGACCAATTAGTTGACTTAGTTTGATGCAAAATGGATATAAAGCCGTAGATACATCAATATGCTGTTGTTCTTGCTTCCTGCAACATCTATGACCCAAGAGTGCACCATCAAGCGATATATTTG